ACCCATGAAGTCATAGCCTCATAAATCCCATACACACATAGAATACACACCTTTTCTGACAGCCAGGTGTTCATTCATGCAGCTTATTGTTGCAGTAATGTTATTGCCTCATGACAGCAGTTTATGTTAATGGAAGAAGATAACAGCAATGAAGCGATAAGCAGTCATTACATGGCGATAAAAAGACAATAGTGGTGTACAAACACACAAGTGGATGTAGATGCATTGAATACTTTGATTGTGCATGTGTACAAGCTGCTGTAGCTAATATCTACTAAAGATAGAGGTGTCTTGTTAGGATGTTTTACAGCAAGCTATCTCCAGTTACTCAGCAGTTACATTAGCTGATATCTAATATCTTTTTTGATATATAATAGCAACAGCACGTCATCTGTACACATTCACTGTCAGCATCTTAAAGATGACTGGGGATAGTTTGCATCACAAGAAAAGAAGTGGATATTAAAAACAGAAAAAGGTAAACCTATAGGGTTTACCTTCCAAAATACTGTAGCTTCGAACACAGAGAGCAGCAGGGATTTACCACCAGATAAGTAGGATTTAATCTTGTCTGTATTATGGGAATAAGGACAGAGGTAGAGAAGCAAAGACAGGCAGAGGAGAAGATTGAGAGCAAGAACAGAAGAGGTGGAAGAGGGTTTGGCTATGTTCACATTACAGGCCCTAATGCTCAGTTACAAACATTTTGTGTTGAAGGTTCACATTCATATTTGTAAGTGACATGTCTAGGTTTGATTCAAACACTGTTGTACTTCTAAACTGCCCCACAAACACAGATTTACCTCAGATGTGAGCCGCATGTGAGCAATAATGTCATTTGTATGATTATGAAAATGTGCGATTTTCTCAAAAACTGCTTAGTTACGACAAGTTCCTTCCAGCTTGGTTTGATCAGAGGCTTCTCCATAAATGTCCAACACATGTGAAATGTCCTCATCTCTCCACTGGCTGCTATTGCCACTGTTGCTCTCATCTATGTTGAATTTACCGACCTGGGAGAGGCCTACACTGAATGTTGACCACAAAGAATAGGCTTATGTGCCAATGTACAGGAGTGAGACTTGAAAAAACAAACACATGAATCAGACCTAGAACCACATATGAAAGTGACCCAGATCTAATTTGAAAATATATGATTTGGTTCATTCACATGTCTGTGAAAAGATCAGATTTGAGTCACTCTAGCTGTAATGTGAATGTAGCTTTAGTGTTAGTAGACAGGGTTGGATAAGATGAAAAATAAAGTAAGCAGAAAAGATAAAATCAGATAAGATAAGATGGACCTTTAGTAACCCCACAACAGGGAAATTCACAAGGTTACAGCTTCAAAGGGATAGAAACAAGGTGGTAAAAGTAGAAAAAGCAACAGACAATATATTATCAGAACAATATATACGTAATAATAAAACAATAAAAAGTAAAGCTAATATTTACATTGCATATGGGTCTTCTAAAATAGCACAGTTGAGGAAGGTAAGCCAGTGCCAAGTAAAATTTATTTAAAAAGTAGTTTTGGAGGGACAAGGGGTTATATGCTTAAAAGAAAAATGCAAATGACATGTAAACACTTGTTAGTGATTTCTGTATCTTGCATTTCTGAGTTTCAGTTTTGCTTGTATTGTTGTTGTATTTCTGTCGTGTCAGCTCATAAAAATCTATGTGCAATGTTCATCCATCGTCAAAAGAAGAATCAGCTTCTTTGACAAGATACTTTAACATAAACCACATGTCTCACTTTCCCTTATGAGCCTGGCAGAATAATAAATATATGGGTGTAACAAGAAAGTGAATTTTAACACTCAAAAGTCAACTGGAGGAACGCACTGGACATTATTAATTTAAGAGAACACAATAATCTGAGGATAAATTTTTATGATGATACACAGAGTAATTAAGAAATGATAACCCAACTTCTTTCGGCTGCTCCTGTTAGGGATCGCCACAGCAAATCATCAGTTGCCACCCAACTGACAATGCACATGCTAAACTCTGCATGTTTTACGCTGGATGAAGTCTAATTTAGAATCACCAATCAACCAAACCTGCATGTTTTTGGACTGTGGGAGGAAACCGGAGCACCCGGAGAAAACCCACAGAGGCACAGGGAGAACATGCAAACTCTGCACAGAAAGGCACTGGGTTGGCCAGGGCACAAACCCGGAACTTAATTGCTGTGAGGCAACAGTGCTAACCACTGTGCCACCGCACAAGCAATGCTAACCCAACAGAAAATATGTTTAGAGTAACCTTAGCTGATGTGCACATAAGCAAACATACACATTTTTGTATGTATGTGAAAGTGTACTGGAGATATCTATAGTATGCATTCATTCATACATTTTCTACCGCTTAGTCCCTGAACGGGGTCACGGGGGTGCCGGAGCCAATCCCGGCTGGCAATCGGGCGAGGGCGGGGTACACCCTGGACAGGTCGCCAATCCATCGCAGTATCTATAGTATGTCATAGTGAATTTTTAATCCTACTGTAGTGAGCTACAGTTACAATGGTGCATAAATATCTGAGAATAGCTGCTAATCTTCACTGTGAGGCAAATCTTTGATCATACCTGTTATAAAGGTAGTTTACACAAATGATTTCAAACAATCCTCCAGGCTTTCACACGCTACGTCCTCCATTGCATTAACCTCTAGAGTCCTGAGCTTTGGAAACCCAAGCTGTGCGGTCCTCATATGAGGACGCAGGGACTCTAGAGGTTAAAGGGAGCTACAATACTGTAAAGAAAATTAAGATTAAACAGAAAAAGAGCAAAATATCTGTTCACTCTCTGTCAGATAAGTAATATATCTCTGGACGTGATGCAGCTACATCTTATGCATCTCAGCCCGCTGGGTTCATAAAGACATTTCTGTACAGTGTGAACAGTGCTTATAACCTCTCATTGTAATACAGTGTCAGAGAAATTGCCTGTAGCTGTAGTGGAGACATAAAACTTAAGCCACAGATAAAAGATTTGTAGTAATGTATCTGAAATCCCTTGGTGCTATAATAAAACACTGTAGATAAATTACGTGTTTATAATGACAGCACATTTAGCTGTCCACTTGCTAACAGGCTAACACTGATACAGATTAATCAGTGGCATACTGGCCAATTAGCAAGATTAAGAGTCTATAGCGGTTAGCATTTTGCTTTGAGGTAGCAAGCTAACATGCTCACAATGATGATGCTGACTGCTGATGTTTTTACAGGTGTTGGGTTTACCATGTGCGCCATCTTAGTTTAGTATTTTAGCATGCTAACATGCTAATTATCACATCAAACCTGTGTAGTAAATTGGATTTTTAAACATTTTATTTTATTTTATTTTATTTATTTATTTTTGTAGGTTCACCAAAATCACTGCACAGACAGACCCCTCCACCTCAGTTAATGTGGAGCATCTAAAACTCTTAAGCAGCAAAATTTGTCAGCTAAATATTGCAGTAGTTAGGGGTGGTTAAGGTCTAAATCAATTCAGGCAAATCATCCCAATGATTATTTATTAGTACAATACTTCTAAACAGTTCAATAATTTGCAAGATAATTCAACAGTCTGAAAGATAGGAAACAGAATCACTGTCTCAGCATAAAAATAAACAAAAGCATTAGATATGAGAATTGTCAAAGAATCAGTCAGTCGCTGTTGGCCATAAGGTACAGTCAGGTGGAGTCCAGAGTCGGGACGGTGCCCTCAAGTCCATGTTCTTGCTGTTCATCTGTCTTTCCTGAATGCACACACTCTACCTAGCTCTCTTTATCCACAGGGTCTTACGTCAATTTCCAAACTTAGCTTCCTGTCTTTACTTATAAGAGGACCCTTCCTGAGATAAACCCAAAAACAGGAAACAGATGGGTCGCCTCCCTAAAGTCCTTGTTTCTGCACACAAACAATTCTCAGGACAAATTATGCAAGCATTGTTCCGCTCACTCCAAGGCCTGTACTCTCTAGCATACCACATTTTAATTTGTAACCTGTAACTTGCTCGTTTTTTCCACTACAGTGGGAAACTTAAAGTATTGGCTAACTCGAAATTTTGACCTAAAGATGGTGCTTGCAGAAAAGTTGAGGCATCACTTAAACTATTACACTTTATTATGAGGGGATCATTGATGTTCCAGATTTGATGTTAATCCATCCAATAGTTGTCAAGATTTTAGTCTTGAAATTTCAACATAATTATGGCATTAAAAGATGGGGAAGACACATAAGTATTCAGCCTTTGAGCACCATGTCTTAATTACAATGCAATCCAACTGTTCACAGTCAATGTGGCATATTAAATATTTAACAGTTTCTTCAAAAACGTACATTTATACAACCAATAGACATTAGCAAATACTGTATGAGTAGAATCCCTAATGTACTGGCGACCTGTCCAGGGAGTGCCCTGCCTTTCGCTCAGTATCAGCTGGGATTGTCTCCAGCCACCCGTGATCCTCTTCAGGATGAGCAGTATAGATAATGAATGGATGGATGGATGGATAGAAACCCTAATGCTGCCCAGATTACTTTTTTTGTCAGTGAAAAAAACCCACACATTCAAATTTGGATGCTGTTGTATATTTTTCTACAGTTGGCTATCTTCTGGCGAACAAAGCATGACTGACCCTGATATGATTACAGTATGTGCAAGGAAATAAA